GGGGCCCTAAATTGAAGTGGTGGGTTTTAAAAAACACCACTTCAATTTAGGGCTGATTAAATCTGCGTGTTGTGCACCCCACTGTTACCTGGCCCTCCGGTGGGGAGGGGAGGGCAGGCTGTCGGTGCGTGGAGCCATCCCTGGGCTGTGGGCGGGGCTGGTGCTTCCCTCTGTGGCAGCAGCCTCCCCTCCCCCAGACGGCACTCACACGCTAGGCTCCAGGGCAGGAAAAAAAAAGATCAGGCTCACTGCTTTTCTTGGGTGGAGACTGCCTTCCCGGGCTGCTGCCAGGCTGCCTGCAGGGCTTCCTGCAGAGCTGGACAGAGCCCGGTGCTTCACTCCTTGGCTGTAGGGACAGCAAACTAAAACTTCTCAAAGCAGTTTTAGTTTGCTGCACCCCAAGTCATTTAAGGCATGTTAAACCACCAAATTTCTTACAGCAGCTGGAATTAATGTGCAATATGCCACCAAGGCATGCAAACACTGACACCATTAAAGCAGTGCAAAAGCATTTAACCTGCTTTAAAGTGTTGTGCACACATGCCTCTTGTTTTGTCTACACATGGCCTATGTTGTTTGTAGGGCTTTCAAATGAGGTCGGTCTTTTTTGCAATGAATAGCATTAAATTGACATCAAAGTGCTACCTTTTTCTGCCACTGTCTAGATAGATATTACATAAAACAGTGGAACTGCCAATTTGGATTAAACCTGAGATCCCCTGTACTCCAACATACTGCCTCTGGTGGTGGCTAACCCTAGATGTTTTGGAGAAAACTGTAGCACCCACTCCATCAGTGGACAGAGACACAGGAGGATGTGTCCTACGTAAGATGTGCAAACAGTAGGGCTGTGTGAAACGGCACCATTCTGTTTCAACTTGAGTTTAGAGGTTTTGATGGAACAGCGTTTCATTTTGAATTTCAGTTCAGTTTGAAACCAATGTTCTGTTTCGCTTTGTCAAAACAGTGATGTTGTCTCAACATTTCGCTTATTTGCTATAATGGGGAAGCCTCTCTCATCCGGCAGGCAGATGGGGTCCCGCAACCCCGGAAGGGCTGTGGGGGCTATGCCAGTCCTCCCGGGGCTGCGGGCCCCCGATCTGCCTGCCAGATGAGAGAGGGAAGCTGGGGAAGGGAACTGAGCCCTATCGCTCAGCTCCCCTCCCCAGCGCTGCAGTCAGGCTGGGGAAAGGAACTCAGCCCAGCTGGGCTGAGTTCCTGTGCCCAGCTGGGCTGAGTTCCTATGCCCAGCCCAATGATAGGGCTGGGGAGGGGAACTGAATGATTGAGCTCAGTTCCCTTCCCCAGCCCGATCACAGCGCAGGGGAAGGGAACTGAGCCCAGCCTGGTCCTGGGAGGCAGGGAGAGCTAAGGCTGTGCTCCCAGGTGAGCCACATGGGGCTACAGAGCCGCTGGGAGCGTAGCCTGGTTCTCCCCTGTCTCCCACCACCTAGCTGCTGACTGCTTCAAAACCCAAAATGTCTCAAAACCTTCAAAACATTTTGACTAGCCTCGTTCTGTTTCGAGGCTGTTTTGAAGACCTTCGTTTCGATTCGATTTCACTGTTTCAAGCTCTAAATGAATTGAAACAGTGTCGAATGGAAACAGCTGGTGAAATTTCGCACAGCCCTAGCAAACAGTGCATAAAGTGCTTCATAACTTCATGGGCTTTCCAGGTTCGTTTTTGAAGCAGAACAGCCATTTTTGAAGCATTTCACTGGCCATGTACCTTATACCCTTACTTTTTGCAGAACTTCAGAGGTACTTCAGGTGCTTCAGATGTTATGTCTGTCAATGCCCTTCATCTCAGGCTGATGTCTGGTCATTACAGAACCCCTGAAACTCAAGGTTTCCCAAGTGTATCATCATTATTGGAAACCACTGATATGTCTATTTATGTGCAACCCCTATTTTAAATGTGATAAGTTTTTAGCCTCTGACTTCCTGCACAATGAGTTCCACTGTTTAATTACACATTTCCTTTTATCAGTTCTGAATTCTCCCGCTTTTGATTTCCTTGATTGTCTTGTTTTTTTATTATGGGAGAACAGAAGTTCCTGGTTTATATTCTCTAGAGACCATTAGTCATTTTATGTATTGCTACCATATCCCCTTTTGGTAGACAATCACTAGTGTTTGATGCTCTTAATCATTCTTTTCATCCTTCTCTGACTGTCCTCTACTTCTGCAATATCCTTTCTTGAAATGGGGTGACCAGTTTTACACATCTCTACTTCTTATCTACGGCCTCTCTGGTTTTCAGTAAAGATCTTGTGACACTTGTTATAACACCGGCTTTTATCTATTGCATGAACTTTCTTTTGTTCAGAACTTTATCTGTCGTCTCACTTTGCAACTTAATAAAATGAATAATTTGAGCAATGGCTTGTGACCAGACTCTGTTTTGGAAACCTAGCTCCTAAGTGCATTAAATATTACTGGAAATGAGATTAAATCAGTTTCATGTTCTAAAAGTGCTAAAAAATACCTGTATTGGATAGCATCTATGGCAGGGAGCAGGTTGTAATATCTGATCATATTGTGTCCATTCCAAAGTGGCTCCAAACCTGATTGAGTCTATGAAAAGTATTGTAATTCATATACTTATTAAAATTTCATCTTGAAAAATCACTCTATTTACATCAAATGGAAATATGCAACCTAAATATTAGTAGATTTGCTCAAACAGCAGAATTTTGTTAAATAAATACATTCAGTGAGAAACGTAGCATTCTATTCACTGTATTTCATAAAGGCATACTATTTTATTATTTCCAAGGTTTCTAATGACTATTGGAGGTTCTTGAAAATGTTCTCAAATCCTAAAGTTTCCTGAATTTTAGGAATTTAGGAATATTTAGAAATGGCATTCATCTAAATATGTGTTGTACAGTTTATCATTTGTTTGTCCCCTGTTAAAAAATAAAACTACTCATTCAGTAACGGAATAGAAAAAAATGTAATGTAATTTAGATGATCAGTTCCACAGCCCACTTGCAAACAGAAAATTATTTATTAAAACAGTATACCAAAAGCTAATGTCCAGAAAGTACAGCCACAGGAATCAGGGTCACCTTGTGAATGATTTGGTAGACGGAGTATTTAGCCATGTCAGTCTGAAGTTGAATAGAAGGCAGGTAGATTTTTACCTTATAGATGAATCTAGGTAGGTAGATAGGTAGGTAGATAGATAGATACATTATGTGAGCTCATGCTTTCATGAGCTGATAGTGAGCTTCAGCCCATAAAAGGTGTTTATTTATATACATATCTATCTGTCTATCTAGCTGTCTATCTATCTATCTATCTATCTATCTAAACACACACACAACATATCTCTATATATTCATCTCTATCTATCTAGATATCTACTTTGATTAGTATATTAGGTGTAAATTATTTGGTAGCCTAAAAGGAGCAAATATCATCTCAGTTGTTTGATCAGCTCTGATGGTTAGATGCTGTAGTGAAGCCCTGATCCAGGAAAGCACTGTAGCAGGTGCTTAACTTTGTCACGTGGTAACATTTTCAAAACCTCTTAAGTTCAATGTTACCAAACCTCTGCATACAATAGGACCAAAAGTAGGGCTACAGTTCTTGCCCATATAACTGAGCGTGCCTGAAACTTGCTAGCTTGAGTCTTGATAACGTTGGAGCCACAGCAGTGTGGAGGTCGGTGCAGGCTAGAATAGTCGCACCGCCTCGGCAGGGTTTTGCACTTCTCAGAGCTGCGCTGATACGAGCCTCCAAGCAAGAGAAGCTGGGTGTGTATACGCTACACTGCAGTCATAACATTGGTGGCAGTGGGAACATTCCTGTTCAGGAGCCCACAGATAAAATATGCAAATGTGCTCAAAATCCCCGTTTCAAAAGGAGCATAGGGTCAGGTTTTTCAAAGGTCTTTAGATGCCTGAATGATAGATAAGTACTTAATGGTATTTGAAAACAACAGGAATTAGGCAGATAGCTTGTTTATAAATCCTAATGAGTGCCTGTCCGCATCTTAAGGACACCTTAAGGGTAAAACAGTGCTTCAGTCCATTTGAAAATTTGGCGCTGAGGCACTTGGGGAGCCTAAGTTTCATTGTAAGTCAGTGGGCCTTGACTCTCTAAATGTCTAAGACCCAGGGCTTTTAATATAGGAATTTGGCATTCCTTTGCTCAGCATAGTAAGGCCCAAATGACTTACTTATATTCAAAAGGGATTTAGGCCATGTCTACATGACATTCACTGTGCTCCAGCATAGACTCCTCAAACACAGTGCACCACTGTGCCATGCCATATGAAATGTCTGTGTGACACTTGAAGCAAGCCAATTACCACTCTGGAGTGACAGTGCTAATTAGCCCACTACCTGCTAATGAGTAAACCTGTGGTACCACACAGACATGGCAACACTGCTTCTGGTTTAGGAAGATGCCCACTGTGAGCAGCACAGTGAGCATGAGGATGCTGCTTTGATGCAGAGTAAGTGTATTGTGTGGACATGGTATTAGGTACTTAGAAGCCTAAGTCCCGTTGACTTTCAATACAGATGAGCCTCCCAAATCATATAGAGACAGACTTTCAAAAGCATTTAGGCACCAAAAGATGCAGGTTGGTGTCTAATGGGTTTTTCCAAAGCTTCTAAAAAGCTTTGGTTCCTAACTTGCCTTAAATGCAATAGATTGAGGGGCCTGACTTGTGCAAAAGCTTTTTGAAAAACCAGTGGCCAATAATATGTATCTTCAAATGCTTAAACACCTTTGAACATCAGACTCTTATGTTTTGCAATACTGAGTGGAGCAATATCTCAGTACATTTAAAAATCTGGGCTTTTTTTAAATATAGCAGCCAAGGTCTAAAAGGTGTTTTTAAAAAAATATTTGAGTGTTTTGCCAAATGAAAACCTAAGGTCAGGATAATTGGGGGCTAGGAGAAATGAAGGGAGAAAGTAATTGGTTTGCTGACCATTCCTTTGTAAGTGGCATGCTTTAACAAATCTGTCCTGCTTTTTCAGGTAAAGGCGATGTGTTCGGTGACATCTTCTGGAAGGAAACTACACTGGCTCACGCCTGTGCCAATGTACGGGCACTGACTTACTGCGATTTACATATTATTAAGCGGGAAGCCTTGCTTAAAGTTCTGGACTTTTACACGGCTTTTGCAAACTCCTTTTCGAGGAATCTCACTCTCACCTGCAATTTGAGGAAACGGGTAAGGCACTCGGTCTAATTTGCACCATTCCTGGGGTAGAGTGATTGCAGACGCAATCCCAAATTTAGCCTTGATGTTTTCAGGTCAATGCAGATTAACTAGGCTATCAGTAAATGCTGCAGCTGTGCCTTAATGAAGGCTCAATAAAAGCTACCCATAAATTTGCAGCAAAGCAGAACTGCCCTCTCAGGGTGACATGTGGATTACACTTTTTTTTTTCTTTTTCTTTTCTTTTCTCATTTTTTCTGTCACAGCATGGATGTGGCTATGTTTTGTAGTCCAATAACATCCAAGTGCTCAATTCATGCAAGGTGCCCTTTGGTCCCTCGCCTACTGAAATCCCTGTCAGAGACTCTGTCATGTGGACTAACTGTGAGGAAGTTATTCATGTTAAATAAATAAACTGTACCCTGCGAAAGTATTATTTTAATAATTGCATCTCACAGTTCACAAATTAGAATTTTAATATGACAAGGTTAATAAAGCCTGATAGTGCCTTTACATTCCCAGCTCTTTTTTAAAAACCCTCCCTCTCATTTCATAATCAATCAGCAAAGCTCACTGTCCATTAATCCTTTCAAAGAACGCTCCGTCTAAAAATTAATTAGCTATACCAACGTATCTCAAAAACAGGTTAAAGAATCCTTTAATTCGCATTGCGGCTGCAGAATTTAATCTTTATGGAGGTTTCCTTAAGATTGATGAGGGTCATATAACTTTGATTTGCATAGAGAAATCTCATAACAATGATTTATAGATTACTGAGCATTAACTGAGATCCTTTTACAGCCAAAATGGATTTTTTTCTCTTGCTGCACCTAAGGCATCTCATCTGAAGTTACATCCAAGCTACCTCAATATTCAAGAGACAGTTTAGTCCATAGGAGCAAAGGGATCTCAGCGCTTACAGTAAGGTAGAAATTGCCCTGCGACAGTGTGGTTCACTTTCCTGCGACTGCTGCTTGAAGGTTCATAGAAAAGAGAATTATTATTTTTTTAGCATTATGAATGTGTTCAGCAGGATACCAAGTATACGGGATGACACATTCAGCAAGGGAACAGCTGACAGCAGATGCACTTGGGGCTACAGATGCCACCCAGTCTATGGCTGAATGCAGAGAGAACATAAGAAGTGCCATGCTGGGTCAGACCAGTGGTCCATCCAGCCCACCATCCTGTCTCTGAGAGCAGGGTTCTCTTACTGGTGGCCCATGGGCTGCATGTGTCCTGTGAGGGGTTAATTAGGAGCCTCCTGGTTCTCAACCACCACTCCCCCCATCACACCAGGGAGCCCACAGCCCAAGGTGCCTGCACAGCACAGCTCGGTGTAGCGGAGGAGCCTATGGCAGCTGAGTGACACTGGGGTGCCCATATACATGGGTCAGCAGGGAGGAGAAGGATGCCCCTGCCACTTAAGAGTTGCACAGCCCTGCTTCATAGGGAAAGCATTGAACAGGGTATGTCTAAAGTGATTTTGCCCCCTGTTCATTACCATTCCTGGTATCCTGCATCATTGGTTTAGAGATGCCAAAGGAAGCACAGCTAAGAATCAGGCTAGACTTGGGACTGCTGTCTTACCCCTCTGTCTGCAGTGTGTCATGAATGGCAAGTGCAGAGCTGGGAGTTATGCTCAAGTCCTGGGTAGAATGAGAGAGGGTTTAGGACTGGGGAAAAAAATGTTTGAAGGTGATTTCATGGGACAAGATAATACAAGTCATGCTGTGCCAAAACATACCTATTGCTTTTTGCCGCTATAGACCTGTCACTTAAACACGCTTCTTGAGAATCCTTTTCTTCTGGAGTAAGGCCAGGGCTGTGTAAATGAAAGGCGCTGCTGACAAAGCAATGGACTAAGACTCTAGCCTGCAGTACTGTTATTCACAGGGGGAAAATTATGTTCTTCTGAAGATGAAGAAGGACTTCTGGCAGTGAAAGCAGTCCCTGCTGTGCAGTCAGACCTGAACTCTCTGCAAGTCCATCTCGAGGAAGTAGGGGATGCGGGGAGGCGCGGCAGTGGTACCTGTCACCTTTTGTCTCCTACCTTTGTCTCCAGTGGAACCTCTTGTCTCCTTTTTCACCTTAGTCACTGCCGCAGTGGTTGCCATGCTGGACTGTGGCAGCAGCAGGAGACTGCACCCACTGTCCAACTCGGTGGTAGGGGCAGGGGTGGGGGAGCTCCTTTCACCTATGGAGTCGTGCAGGACAGCCCGGTACTTGGATCACGTGTTGGAAGGGAGAATTTGTGCCATGGTGTTCATGCTGTGAGTGTAACCAAAGGGAAGCAGTAAAAGTTTTGAAAGAAACCATCTGTTTAGCACCCCCACCGGATCTTCCTCCCCTGCCTACGACCCTATCTCTGACTGCTCACATCTGGTTTGTAAAATGAAGCCTAATTTCTAAAAGCGCAGCTCCAGGATCTCAGAGCAAGCCTAGTTTAGATATTTTCTATGCATCCTTTCTTAGGTGCAAGATCACGACAGAGTCCCTGTGCTTGATCCAAAGTCCTATGAGATAAATGACTTGAATAGCCTTTGGGTTGGTCCCAGTCTGCAAAAAGGGGTATGCTGTTCTCGTGGTGCCCTCCGGTAGACACAAAACTAATAGCTTAAAGGTCCATCTCTTAGAAAACCTTGCTCAGTTGAACAAAGAGCAAATGAGCAGAAGCAATAGATAAGCTAAGGAGGTTGAGCTCACAGAGGCTGCTGCTCTGTGCTGAAGGAGTTTTTGCTCTAGTGATCTCTTTTAATCAAAAGAAAAGCATTGCCTCTTTTAATTGATTTGAATAGAAATATATTTAGTGCCTCTTTTATTTTGTCATCACTTTCAGGGTTTGACAGTTAGTTATGACAGAACGATACTCCTGGCTGTTCTGTGCTGAAGAAGCAGGTTGCTTGCTTTCACTGTAGCAAGTCTGCAGATCCAGAGAAGCAATCTTCTATCTACTTTATATACACATGCAAGCACACACACACATATTTTTATTCCTAATGCTCTCTTTGCTTAAGCAGGCGTGAACATCTTGTCCACAGACTGTATAACAATTTAGACACTTAAAAAGCTAATAAATTAGTAATAGAAGTAGGCATGGAAGGTTAGCTGCACGTGACAGGAAGAGAGACAAGTGCATTGAAGAAGGAAAGTAATGTTTTCTCACTCACAAATAACATTCGGAGACCTAGCATGCTGAATGACCTACTTAACGGAGCCGTGCAGCGTGCTATTACCAACCTAGGATTTTTTTGTTGGTCAGGTAGCTCATCTATAACACCGCATTTATGAACCTGTAAAATCAGAGTGGCTGCTCATTTTTCAACCTGCAGCCATCTCGCCTGGCCAGAGTGGCAAAGGGTCTTTTAATCTGTAACTGCAAAAGTCTTGCCGCATCTTGCTGCGTGCACTGAAGTCTTGATGGCACATCTAACGTCACTAATGCAAAATGCAACATAGTATTAGGATGTGGGACTTTTTTAAGGTGTCAAATAGGTGGAAAAGTTAAACTCCAAAGATGCTCTTAACATCTACAATTAGTTTATATATCCATCCCCCAAAACTGACCGTGATAAAGCAATGCTTGGAATGAGTCTTCAAGGAGGTAATTACCAACTTCTGATATTAGAGAATATAAATAACATAAATGCATCTTAAGATTCTGTGCTCCTTAGACTAGGGCTTCCTTTTGCAAGCCAGGCATTGTTTCCTTTTCTGCCACAGGGCCGTGAGATCTCAAGTCAAGTCTAATAAAGAGAGAAACATGCACAAATGAGCATAGCATTCTGCTGGCAGAAAAGATTTTGTCAGACTGATTTTTGAATTAGCAAATAGGTTCCTGCAGGAAACAAGCATCCAGTGAAAAAATGTAAATAGATCAATTCCAAGTTCTCAGTCTCACTTCCTCCTATTTCAGCCAGCAGTAAAATCCCCAGCTAACTGTGAGACAGTCATGTTCTGTGCATTTGCATTAAGGTAGGCAGTGAAATCCTGGGCGGTGAAATCCTGGGCCTGCTGAAGTCAATGGCAAAGCTCCCTTGACTTTAGTGGGCTGGTATTTCTTCCACAATTGAAAAAATGCAGGATCCCATGCTGTTATCTGTTGCACGTAGGATGGACAATGTTCAGGGAATGAACCGGCAGGGTGTGATGAACAAGGATGCTACATGTAGGATTTCTTGCACGTTCGCTCTTAGGAAGGCAGAGGGGTGCCGCGAGAGAATGGATGCATTTAGGACAGTCGAGTGTCATCTAGGAGGTCTCAGTTCTGTTCCCAGTTCCTTCACAAATAGCGTGTGGAAGTCACTTAAACCAGGGACGATGCTATAATTAACTAATATTATATATTTCATTTAACACAGTTTAAACATATGATGGGGTAAATTTGTCATAGGTCTAAAAGCCTTGTTTTATTTGAAATTTAAAATAATTTCTGTTTAATTCGCTATTTATAAACAGATGTTTTAATGAACAACCTGTCATCGCTTGTCAAATTTTAGGGACAAGAATATCTTTTTCTGAATCTGAATTGAACACTTGCTTCTCTTCAAAATGAGGTTTATCTTACTGTCATCTCTGGTCTTGATAGTGTTACCTATCTTTATGTCAATCAGTCATGCATGTTGATCTTGTCAAACCATATGAAATCAGTTTAAAATAAACCTAGAAATGTCTCCTGTACTGTTTGTAGGTAGGTAGAATATAACAGGAACCTTTGAGTATCCAGTGGGCACGTCTACAGGAGATGCTAACTGCACAGTAGCTTAATAACACTGCGCAGTAGTGTGCTGGGCAAAAATCGTTCTAATACGCTACTGCACAGTAATATTAGGCTACTGCGCAGTTAGCGTCACTAAAAACCCGTGTGCCGGCGCTACTGTGAAGTAGCGCAAGTTACTGTGCATTGTTTTAATGCTTGGTTATCCAAGTACTAAACTTAATCTACAGTAATCTTTGTCTCTTAATAGTGAATTAAATGACAGAGCTTGGCTATCTGGAGTTTGGAATATTTT